TGTTCAAGGGTCAACCTATAAAATGGAAAAGTCAAGTGAGTAACTAAATACTAAAATGTTTTTCTTTTCTTTTCCTTTTTTTTTTGTTGAAGGCTTTTGCCTTATGGTGCATGCCCTCGCCAGAGATAGAGAGAGGAAAAGTGAGAAGTTATTCCCCAGGGGATACAGCCACCCAGCAATCCCTTCTCCTCCATTCTCCTCCTGGGATTTTGGGCATGCACCCTCATATGTCGAACATGACTTTCAAGGTGCTAAGTCCAGGACTCAAACCATAGTCAGCCATGTGGGAGTCTAGCACCTTAATCACCATGCCAACTGCTGGTCCAATACTAAATTATTAAAAATTGCCTGTCTTCAAAATTAAACTACTGCCTCCCAGGCATTAGCCTCCCTCCAGATATAAGGCCTACCAGCTAGGGAGAAAAATGCAGCCAATGCAGCCAAATGAGATCTGTCTTCAAAGCTAATAACACTCATCTTTTAAAATTGTTCTATTTAGTAATCAAGTACTTACACTGGGTAGCTATTTTTAACTGAGTATTGAAATTCAGATCATGGACAAAAAATGCAAACAGGTAGTTGTGGGTGGATGAGATGTCATAGCAGATGCCCCAAACACAGCCATGTGCCAGTAAGGTTGAGTCACTACAATGCTGAAAAAAGATACTAAGGCTCAGCTACCACAGGTTGTAATGAGCCTCCCTGCTTTCCTCCATGTTCTATTTGTCAGGCATCATTCCAAGATTCTGAACAGACACTTAGACATCTTCAAAATTAGAAAAATTACTAAAAATGACAAAATATGACATCCTACGAACAGCACATGCCTGTGATGAAACTAACACAAGCAGAGAATGAATAAACATTCAGTAAGCTCACAGAATAATTCCTTAAAATTAATAATTTGGCCTTTGAGATCTCAGTATATTTTTCCTAGAAGAGTAAATCCAGTTCTGTAATATTCTGCCCTATAATTTCAAAAATGTCAACTCATTTGTCAGGGAATGGCATTAAAAAGAATAACATGTAACAGAATTTGACTAATATACAACCAGGCCAACAACCATCCTTCCAAGCCACAAAAACAAACCACTCTGATCCGCCAACCAAGCACTCTCTCTAGGAAAATAACTAACTCATGCACACATTCATTCCACCTCTACTTACTACGTTACACACAAAAGTACTAGAGTAGACCTTTAACACAAAATAAACACTGTCCTAAAGATACTAACAGCCTAGCAATGGAGTTTAGAAACATGCATTGTCATTGCCAGCATATGGCATGGTAGTTAAGGTGTTGGACTCCCACATGGCCAGTTCAAGTCCAGGAACTGGTACCTTGAAAATCATGCCAAGTACACGTGCATGTATGCCCAAAATCCCAGGAGAGAGGAGAATGAAGAAGAATGAACAGGATGGGATTGTGGCATGACCACTTCCTCTGCAGGGTGATTTCTCACTTTCCCTCTCTTTATTTCCCTCTCTATCCTTCTCCAGCACATGCCCTATGGCAAAAACCTGAAGAAAAAAAAAAAAGAAAGCAAGCAAGCAAAGAAACATACGGTGTCTTTAATAAGGCAGAAAGCTTTAGGTAGCTTGAGAGAAATCGCTATTTTTTAAAGTCTTGCTTTGATTAGGTTCTTGTCTATCTATTTCCCATCTGAGTCACATCTAGGTTATAGATACCAAAGACCTCTTCTCTTCAACAACAAGTGACTGCTTACTGTTACAAGACTAGTTCTTGGGACCTTTAAAATAAGCTCCTTCATTTTATACTATTTTTAAGGTTCATTTCTTTATTATATGAGTGAGAGAGGGAGAAAGAATGCAAGAGAGACAGAGATATAGCCCCAACAGGGTCTTGATTACTTGATCCACCTGTAGCCTCCGCTGGCCTGATCATAGGTACACGCATGCCCACTGTACTCAGGGAGACCAGGGCAACCTTCCCATGTGGGCTTGCCTCATGGAGTATAGCATTTCACTTCCGGGCCACCATCCAGCCTCTCCTTTTATACTTTCTAATGCCTACTGTGTCCTGTAAGAGTATTACCTTTTGATTAATGGAAATGAGACATGTGAATCCCAACTATCGTAAAATTGTGAGTGCTACAGATCTAAAAGAAAGAGAAATGCCAAAGTGACACCAATAAGAAGTCATTTTCTTCCCTAATTCTGCCACTGTTTATAGAAACCTAAGGGACTCACATTTGACTGACAGTATTCAAGAAAGAATTGCTAATAAATCTCTAAAGAACCTTCATGAGGGACCAGCAGTTAGCGTAATAGCTATGTCACTGGACTCCCATGTAGTCGACTGCAGTGTGAGTCCCAGACCTGGCTGCTTAAACTCACACTGGGCACGTGTGTGTGCGTGCCCAATATCTCGAGAGGAGAATGGAGGAGAAGGGATTGCGGTGTGGCCATGCCCCGGGGGGG